CGATAAACTTTTGTCAAAACTTTTCGCAACGATATATAACAATTGGATTCGATCCCTGCCTGTAAGGCATCGTCAGGAGGTCGTCATCGGCGTAGTAGGAGTCATTTTCCGTGTACGAATACAAACGTGCACCCTGCAGTTGCTCGTCCCGTATACGCTGGTGGTATTCTCGCTGACATTCGATTAGGCAATTTTTTTCGTCCGCATAGAAGTCGATCTCGAACAGGCTGAACACTTTGTCCTGCCAGCTAAAAATACGATCCTCCTCTTCCAAGAAGTTGGAATCTCTGGTCTCGCCGCCCTCAGATTCCTCGGCCAGCAATTCAGCCAGCGGGGACCTCTCCTGCACGATTCGTACCCTGAAACAGCAAATAACGCCGACTAAATGAAATCTGGTATAATTCGGAAAAGGTAGTTTGTGATTAAATACTTAATCCATTTTCTGATTCTGTGGGAACGTACGTGGTTCAAGATATTCAATCACTGTTTCGTCTTTGCCACATTCTTGTCTATACATATCAGTGATTACGAATTAATCATGAGAGAATCGAGTTTGCAAATAGCTTTACGTAATTCTTACGTGAGGAACTTTTAAAAATTTCTCAGTCTAAAGAAGATAAACACGTGATAGAAAGATATTTCAAATATCTTTTGTTTGTTAAATCATTAAAGAATATTTTCTTTAATGATTTAACAAACAAAATTAACTTTCAATTTCTCGTGCGTTTTTGACTGGATTTTTTACGTTTCAGTAAATAGGACGTATAATATTCGATAATTCGAAAAAAAAGATTTCTACGAGACTTGAAATTTACCATCGTTTATGAGTATGATATCGTAAAAACTTGAGAACATGAAAGAAACTTCTTTAACATTCCTTTGGAAAATCAATTCGTGAAAAACATAGGAATCACATTATCTTGAAACAAAAGATATAATCACTAACGCAAACATAAGTGGCGATACATGAAAAAAAAAGTAACCGACGTACATACACGCGGGCTAGTTACATAACGTTTCGATGTTGGAGGTTTGTATTATCGCATTGAACAAGTACGCTCTCTTCTTCATGTTTGACTCGGAACTTTGGTTAATCTTTACCAGTTGGAAATGCGGAATCTTCTGCAAAGATTAATTCAATGTTCGTCATATGAAGGTAATTATAGTTTTTATAAATATAGTTTTTTTTATGTCCATCTCTCTCTATACAAAGAGAATTAAATTAATCAGTTTTTTTTTTTATAAGAATGTATAAAATTTTATAATCTTTTCATACATTATAATTTATAAAACAGCGTATATGATAAATGAGACACAATAAAAACTTGTTCTTTTAATTACATATTACATAAATCCTCTCGGATGCAGGCCTAATGAATTCATATGATAAACAGGGAATCAATCCATCACAGCCTTTCAGTCTTCGGGAATCTCCCGCTGATTTAGTCATTATCAGATATATGCTATTCATGTTGCAGAAAATTTTACAAGCACAATTGCAGCTTCATTTGTTTATATGACGTTCAATTTCAAATTCTTTCTGCAAATTTTTAAATTAAAGAGTTTCATGAAAGTTTTAATTTGATCAAATTGGAATTACATCTCGCATCTTTATAGGCGCAAAGTAGTCACATAGAATGTTATATGAAAATATTGTTAAAAAATTAAAATAAATTATAATATTTCCAGAGTATGTTGTATATTTTTTAATATTATAAGAGTATTTTATGGATATTATATGTCCACTTAGGTATGTAATATCCCTAGTATCCTTTATTAATATCTCTGAAATATTATTCTGCAGTTATTATATTTATTAATTACTTTTATATTAGCACAATTTGAATTCACAATCGAGTAACGAAAAGATCTGCTTATCAGTCTGTACTACGTTTTGTGCTTAAAATAACGTTTTGGTGTAATTTTAAGTACATAGTTTTACAACTGCGCGCCAAAATCATTTCAGTCTTTAAACATATTTAAACAGTTTTACAAAATTAACGTGAATGTTGTCGTAACACTTTTTAATGCTCGTATAATAGTACAATAACATTAAATAATGTTACTTTTAATAATTATGTAATATTATCACAGGAGAGCATGGACATATAACCATCCATTAATATTTTAAGAATATTATTTAATATTATATAATTTTAGTAAAATATTTTTAAATTAATATTTTAAGAATACGCCTAAAATATTACTTAGTATTAAATAATATTAGGTATACAAATTAAATGCTCGGCCCCTACCTTTCAGCAATATCAGAATTTAAGTTGAACTCCCCCCCTCCTCTGTAGTCATTTTGAAGTGCCATTTTAACTTTAAAATGAGGTACAATACTTGATCTTCTTGTGAACATAATCTGAAAAATCAGTAATAAACACGATATCATTCGAAAAGCAATATTTGAGGCACTGCCTTTTCTTCGAGTTTCAAAAAAAACTTAAAAAAACGCGGCTGAGGCGGAAGAAATGATTTGTTCGGCTTTGGGCGAGAATATTGTATCGTACAGTACGTGTAAAAAAATGATTCCAACTGTTTCGAGAAGGAAATTTCGACCTTGAAGATCGTGCACCAAATAAAGTGGAAGACGTGGAGTTGGAGGAAATTTTTAACGAGAATTTTTGCCAAACGCAATTAAAACTTGCAAGTACTCTTGGAGTAACCCAGCAAGACGTTTCCTAAAAAGCGTAAAACAGCTGGGGAGGTCAAAGTTGATCAAAAAGGGCCGAGAATTAATTTGTACACCTAATATTATGCGCCTATAGGGATACATACGAAAAGACAGGAAATAAAATATAACGCGAAATTAACGTAAGAAGAAACTTTTAGCATATGTAACCGAATTATATTATCTGTCTCAGTTATGCCTGTTTCCGCCAATGCAGATTAATCTCGGTTTAACTCTTACTGTTCATCTTTTTCTAATTTTTAAAATTAGAAAAAGATGAAGAGCAAATTGAACCGAGATTAAAGTTAATCTACATTGGCGGAAATGGGCATTGATGTCACAATTTTAATTTCTGAACGTCACGCATTTAAATACAGAAAAGACACGCGTATATACCTTATTTTCAGATTATGTATTGGCTCATTCACTCTATAACTCGCCGCTATCCTCATTCTCTCTTTCTTATTCGCCATCCTTAAGTCGCCGCGCTACACTCGATAGACTCGTTTTAATTATTGTTACAAAACGGAAACTGCGGAGCGCTGAATAAGCTGAAAGCTAACGGTGGCTGTCAATGATCTCGGGGTGGCTTCTTGTTTGTTGATTCGTAACGTCGCTAGGCAACCTCGCTCGCTACAGCTGGCGAGACCATATACATTATACGTGGAGCATCATCGTCGTGAAATTCGGAGGTGTGTGGTGGTGGTGCGTGGCCTCCGCGGGAAAGAAGAAAATATACTCGTTAATTAACTCGGAAAAATTATCATTGTTTTGACATGAAAAATATATCTCCATTTAGATTCGCATTTACATGAACAATACGTAATCGTGACATGCACATTCCTCATACCATGCGTGTGTAAAGGCTCTCCCTCTTCCGCTCTTTCTTTTAATAGCTTCATTAGCAAAAGTTTCCAATGAGTCAGAGCGGTACGCCACGATGAATACATCGGTAAACGATCGATGCCGCGACTTATCGCGATTATTGGCTGTGTATTTCCTGACGCCCCTGACGGCCGTTCTCCGTATAATAAACGAGCGGAGCGGCGTAACAAAACTGCGACGTGCGTTGCATCGTGAAAACCTTGAATTGTCTAGAATAGTACATCCTGTATCTGTATAGAAAAAGAGAGACAGGTCGAATAAAGCAGAAAGTCTCTCTCGCTTTCTCTCTTCCTAATTTGAAGGCACTTGTACTTGCGCGTGCCGTACAGTAACTAAAAAAAAAAGAACGCATAGCAGTCAGTTTAAAAAAAGAAGTACCCGACTATTGTCTATCCATCCTGTATCATATGTATGTATGTCAGACAAACAGAAAAAAAAAGGAGAATACAATTTCAAAAAGTTCTTACTGCGTTGATTCCTAACAGCCGTTTCTAAATTTGTTTACATTTTATTTTATTATGAGGAGTCCTTTAATATTGTGATCGCTTTTTAAAAAGTTGAGATAAAAAACGCCTATATAAGAGCTCGGTTGAGATAAAGAAAAAGTCATCGGTCGGAGGTGCTGAGGATCCTAGCTGAATTCAGGACCGTTGTCCACATCGCGGAGTCTCTAAAGAAAAAAAAAAGTAGGTCGTTTAACCTTGCGGTACACTTTCCAGCGCTCTGCAGTTTTCGCAGTCTTCTCCAAATGTCCCCGGTCGTCATCGCGAGACCCGGCAAGGAGACTCAAACCGTTCGAAATGGGTATATACCGTTAACTCTCGCGCTCTCTCGCTCGCTCTCGCGTATCGCGACACCTGCCCGCCTTGGAACGCCTCGCGAGAGAGATCGAGCGCGGAAAATTCAATCCCAGAGGGCGTAAGGGGGGGGGGGGAAGGAGAAAGAAGGAGACAGCGAAGCAGGAAAGGTCAGTGGCGCGTCTCTTTCTCTCTCTCTCTCTCTCTCTCTCTCTCAAGGTTCCCCGTGTTCCTAGGCCGTGATCTCGGCGAGTCCTCGGGCTTTCCCCCCCCGTCGCTTGGCCCGTCACAGCTTGCTCCGTACTTTGAAGGTTAGGGTATGTATGTCGTAATAGAGCGCGTTAAATACGTCCGGTGTACACACATGCAGAATTTGGCGATAGCGCGCGCATCGTAGCGGTGCGATGGGACGCACGCAACCGCCATGCGTCGCGGACGGCCAACAGGTGGATTGGTTCCGCGACGTCCATGACGTCATTGACAGGACGCCGTGTGTCCCTGTCGACTTGTCAGTTGTCATCGTCGTATCTGCGAGAGAGATAAGGGAAAATGTGTCACCGCGCGATGTTATCGGGTCAAAGTGACTGTTCGATACTCGACGTCTAATGTCACGAGCGCGCGCAGGTGCGCGTGGACGGTCGTGCTCGTTGAACAGAGGAGAGTAACTCCAGATATTCCACCGTACGGAGGCGAGTCACACCTTCTGCTCGTACGAGCGTGCGAACTGCCTCACGCACGATTGGCACCCTCAGGGTTCGGTTTGTCAGGTAAAACGTACGTTCCTCGCGTTCGCTATTTGATCGTTGTGTCGTATTGGCTTCCACCTCGCGATACAGTCTTTTAGGTGCGACGAGCCAGGATTCCGCCTCCTCGGCATTCTCTGCGAAATGACCTTCGTGCGTAGGTCTCTTGCCTTCAGTAAGTAGATACTTGGTAGCAAGCGAGAGAAAGAGAGAGCCAATTCAGAAAGAAAAATTTGGAAGAGCGAGAGATCTGCCATCCTATGGCATTCTAGCTTTAAGATTTGTTTTGATTGCTTACTAAGTTCTAGCAAAATGTAAAACGTCATTTACTGACGCCTATCTGATTGATGTTTACTTTACAGAGGTTTCAAATTGATAAGGATGTCGACTAATCGGGAAGGCGAGACTGCGGTGACCATCCCACTGCAGTACAATGAAGCTGTAAGTGATGTTTTATGTTTAACATTGAAGAGCGAAATTAGTGATATAGATGTTTTTGGTTTTTTTGTTATATTTTTTACATCTCGTCGTTTTGACTCTTATTCCAATTTTTTTTTGTTTTCTATCATCAGAGATAGAAGTTAAACAAACTTTGGAAGAAACAAGAAATAAAAAGTAAAAAATAGGAAACAAAAAGCACATTGTAGAATAGGCTTTATTTCGTTAATGCTTTCAACCTTTTTTTAAGATTCTTCAATTCAGTTGTATATTAAAGTGCATATAATAGATGTAATTAAAATAATGTTAAAACATGTTTCTCATGAATATTAATTATATTATTAAAACATTTCTTTTTTCTTTTCTTTTTTTTTTACTGTCTTCTATGATTATTTTCTCTTAGAAGCCTAGTTTTCCTTACAAATGACTCATATATAAACTAATAGGTTTAAGTGTATGATTCACTTGTAAAGGAAAGCGTATTACTTCTATACTACTGATACTGATTATTGCTGGCAACAATTTCAAGTCATAGCTTGAGAAATCTTACTGAAAGTATAATGTTTGCTAAATATTTTTGTATCTTTACCAAAATAATGATATGTTTAATTGTGTAATTTATTTTACAGCATTGGAAAGCTATTTTTGAAAAGTACGATCTTGATGGAGATGGAAAAATATCTCTACAAGAATTAAAAGCAATGATACGCGGTCCAGATTTTTCTAAAGATATCCCTGCTGGAGTAGTCCGCACGATAATGCATAAAGCAGATCTGGATGAATCTGGTTATTTAGAATATCCAGAATTTATAGCAATGGTTAGTCAGATCTTTTGATTCTTCGAGGATACTGGAAATTATACTTTTTTTTTTTTATACTTCTATATTTCGTTAGTAAAACATTTTGGGGAAATATCTAATTACTAATAATTGATATCAATTATTTTTTGACATTTAGATCCACAGGAAGGACATGCAGGGTATATTCGGACACATCGTGCAACGATATGTGCACTGTGTGATACCTCAACGACCATGCCGTGCACTAAGGCAAAGTTCCGTGGGCTCGAGGTATTATACCCAACAATTCAGTATTATAATGCAAGCACCACCTTCTCCTCCTCCTTCGAGCTTTGGTGATTCTCCCCAGGCTGCTATGATTAGTAAAAGAGGCCGTTCTGCACGTTTTAATGGTTTACAGCAACAAACAAGTACAATAACGGAATCTTCTCTGTACTCTAGCGATTATCCAGATGGACTGTACGAAGAAGAGTACAGTTGTCGACCGCCAGCTATAGCAATGATAATAATATCGATAATAGAAATCATTTTGTTCATGTTTGATGTGATTAAGCACAAATCTCTTTCTGTAGAAGGACCAGCGGCTACTTTATTTATTTATAATCCGCACAAGAGGTACCAAGCCTGGCGGTATCTAACATATATGTTTGTACACGTCGGGTATGTATGATAACTCTGTTTTAGAATCCACGCATTTCTGTAAAAAGTATTAAGAATTTTGCAATTTTTAACGTTCATTAATTTCTTTTGTTTTTTATAGAGTCTTTCATTTGGTCGTTAATCTCCTAGTACAAATTATGTTGGGCATTCCATTGGAAATGGTTCATAAATGGTGGAGAGTATTGATAATATATATAGCCGGAGTACTGGCTGGTTCCCTCGGCACGTCCGTTTCCGATCCAACAGTTTACCTAGCTGGTGCATCGGGTGGTGTGTATGCACTAATTACTGCCCATGTAGCAACTATTATAATGAATTGGTCGCAGATGGAATTTGCCGTGCTACAGTTATTAGTGTTCCTTGTTATCACGAGTGTTGATGTTGGTCAAGCCGTGTACAATCGTTATGTTCTTGATACCAATGATCAAATTGGCTATGTGGCCCATTTGGCTGGTGCTATAGCAGGTCTTCTAGTAGGTATAAACATTCTTCGAAACCTTGAGGTACAAACTTGGGAAAAAGTTATTTGGTGGACCAGCATAGTTACTTACACGGTTCTCATGACCGCAGCTATTTTATGGAATATATTGTATCCCTCGTACTACGACTGAAGATATTTATATCGGTATTTATCTTGTCGAGTTATTTAACGACACACACGCATGTACACGCACGCAAATATTTTGATAGAGAGAGAGAGAGAGAAAGAGAGAGACAAATGTATATTAAAAGATTTACAAATTAGTCGGTCCGTTTTTGTGTTCAAAAATCCATTTATTTCAAAACAAAATGAATGAACAGATTAATTAAAGTATCGTCCATCGCTTGCTATTACTTTTTTCCATCTCGAAAAAATGACTCGTCTTTGGAGGCAATCATCTTTTGGAAAACGGACCGAACTAATTTGTACTCCCAATATTACTGAAAAAAAAATAACTTGCCTTAAGAAATTGTAGATGTATGCATGAATTTCATATTTTTATATGTTAGTCGATATATAAAGATATGTTTATATTTATATAATTATATAGTTATATAATTTTTTATAATATAAAATAATAGAATTTTAATATCGAACAAAATAGTTTATTTTCGTATAAACTTTATCGCGGAAAGATAAGACTAAGATTTGTATAATGAAAATATATTAATTTTAAACACAGTATTTTTTACATACACGTTTTCGAGAGCAAATAGTAGAACAACAAATTCTGTGATACTTTTGCTATTACATGTTGCTAGTACATGTATTAAATGTATGCAATTATTTGACAAATTGAATAATGGCATCGAGCTATACTGTATATTGATATTTCTATTTTAGAACTATTGCCTCACTGTTTGAAAATAAACTGCATAGATGAACTACCTCCATCAGTATGCACAACGATTTATTGCATACATAAAACGTCAATTAATCTTTCAATAATACTTCATGCATTTATACAAATATATTTTTTAATTATTTGAATAACGTTCAGAACAGAAGATCTAAAAAAAATTATGAAGTGTTGAATTGTTAATAAAATTTTAAATCTACACATACATTTAGTACTCTTTTTTTTTTTTTTTTTTTTTTTTTTTTAATCAAATTTGAAGACATAATATAAATGGAACACAAGATAAATCTTTCAGACACTTGTTGAAAGAAAAAAGAATTGTATATAATTCATAACATATGTGTTCTATAGTTCAAAGATATGAATATAAAATCGCGTTCGACAAAATAAGTAATTTCTTGTTTCATGAGAACATTGCAATAATCATATTCATATAATATCATATGAATTGTATCTATTATTATAGACATGGACGTAATGTTATACTCAGAAATACAAAATAGTGTATTAACATTTTTGAAAGATTTATTTATTTTATTTTAAATTTATAAATAAAATATACCTGAGCACATGGTTTATTTCATGTACCTGATTTGCACACGGATATATTAATTTATTACCATTATTTTGACAGAAAAACAAGAGTCAACTTTATAATTTGTATTCGTAATACAAATACTGGATTACAGGATATTGTTCTAATATAACTCCCCGAATAAAAGTATATCTATATGAATTACTTGTTTTGAAAGATTAAGGTCCGGTTGCACCAACACTTTTTGATCTTAAAACTCTAGCTGTCTCGTTTTAAAACCGAAAGAGAGACAGAGACAGTTTAAGTTTCGCTTAAAATCGAAATCACGTTGGTGCAATCAGGCCTAACTGTAGTTAATCATTAATTGAATGCAATAGACAACTTGTTGCATGACAGCTGTCGGTGGTTTATAAACTATAATGGTTAAACTATAATGGTTTCAATTTAGACAATAGAAGAGATGGGATAAAACGGATCATCGGAAAAGAATGGCTCAGTTGCTGTTTAATTAACAATATTTCACGACTAGGCCAATTTATTCTGTGTAATCGATCGTACCTCGCTCTCCCCTATAATATCTATAAGAATTACTGTATAAATATTTTAAGATTTTATATTTTATTTGATCAATGCAGCCGCTTGTATCTTTCGTTGTGAAAAAAGATTGTTTTTACTGATTTGTTAAGTGAAAAGAGTGAAGCTGCTATTGTAAATCTAGAATACTTAACAATGAAAGGAAATTAATTATAATTAAATAATTTATAATATAATTATAAATGTTATTTACATATACGTACAACATACATATTTACATAATTTACATGAATAATTATACAGGATGATTCTTAGTTGTATTTCAGTAGTCAATACTATACTTTAGGTTAATCTAGAATTCAAAATAAGAAAAAAAAGAACGTCATGAACATATATTTTAACTAATGTAGAAATAATCGGAAGACATTTGTTATTAATATTCCGATAAAATATGACTTAACTTACCTGTTTTCTATTTTACCCTTTTTTCTTAAGTGTCCTAGATATTACTTATTATTATACTCGATTACAATGTTGATGATAGAATTTCCATAAATAAAATGATTCTGTGAAATAGATATAGTCTTTAATAATAGCGATAATGGATAAAATCTATTTCTCATCTATTAATGCGTAAATTTTCCTACGTATGATGTATCCCTCGTGGTACAATATGGGTGAGTTTTTTTCATTCATCGATTGATCAATCGCATTATGTGTAGATGTAATTTTGTTCAGTAAAAGCTACATTTGCGTATAATGCGATTGATCAATCGATGAATTGGAAAACTCGCTCTATTTTAATGTAATAAGAATAACGAATGGCATCGACCGCGAAGAAACGAAAGTGTGCCTCATGTGTATGCAGGATAAATATATAGATATAGATTATACAGATTTATGTAATATTTTGTAATCGATTTCAACGAAAATCTTTGTTACTGTTCGACAGAGCGACGAGAATGTCTAATGTGTATATTTTGTATGCGCTTTGTACAAAACAAAATAAAATGATGAAAAAAGAACCGATCCAATAATTATCACCTTATATAGTGGGATACACATGTAATTGCATCTTAAGATGGAGTATATCGCGTTTCAATTAAATATTTTCATAACGAACGTTCCCAACTAGGCCCACGTAATCACAATTAACAGAAAAAAATGTTGATTCTTTTTTTTATTTGAATTAATTTCTCGCTCACCCTGTATTTAGCAAATATTTTTCTCCTTTACAATATCACTGTTTTTCGAGAGAAACAATGCGGAGCGAAATCAAAAGGCGAAAGCGAGATGCTCCTTATTATAACGGAGGTGATTTTTATTTCAACAAAAATAACAATTTACATTGAACTGTTTTGATAATAATATTATCGTGTATGCTACATCTGTAGTTTTACTGTAGGCGTGGTATGCTCTCGCTCGCTATAATTAATTTTCAGTTACTTTGTTTTGTAATTAGTCGCATTAACAGAGCGTGTTTTCGTGGATTAATAATCACGTATTTGTAAATAGAGTCTTTCGCTTCTTTTCTCATCGTTTTTTCTCCCTTTTCTTTTTTACTTCTTTACTCTCGTTTTATCCCTAGCTTGACAATTCTGCGATCGCGCCATATGCATTTATTATTTTCTTGTTAATACTAATATTATTATATTTATTATGATACAACATTCGGGAGGGAGCTGTGTGTATCTCGGCGAAATCATATCACTATGTACAGGCTTGTCGTTTTCCACGTACGTCGTAGGGAACGAACAATAGACACTGAACAAATTAATCATTTTTTTCCGACGCGTGTTACAAATGAGTCTAGGTACATATATACGCGACGTACGCGTCTTCACGTCGCCTAAATCTCTAATCTAGATGATACTCGTAGGTAGCTGCATTGATGAAGTTCACCTCGCCTCTCTTTTGCTGCGAAAAACGCACACACTCTCTCTCTCTCTCTCTCTCATTCCCGAGGAAGAGATGTCAACGATGTTTCATTCTTTTTCTTCGCTTCTTACATCTATTGTATTACAGTACTGTATCGTACCTGAGATTGCTTACGCACAGACGATTTCCCTCGAAAAATCAAATGCAATTGACAACTGAAATCTTTTTCTTTCTCAGAGACACTTTTGCCAAAGGAAATTTATGCTTCGTCTTCTAGATTTTGATTCACCACCCAGTAAATACATTACACATTATGTATTACAAAAATAATTCAATTGTACAGTATATTATATAATATATATTTTACATATATAATTATACAATATATCGTAATCGTATATAAGTATTCTACATACCTATACAATTAAATATAATAATAAAACAAGAAACTTTTTCCTATTTCAGTAATAAATATATAATTTCTTTACCGGGGTAAAAATAATTAAGCGCTTGAAAAAAGAAATAGATTAGATTACTATTCGTTCGGTAAATCGTTCGAATTTCTTTCTCTTCGAAAAAAGGGTGACAGTTGGTTGAGAAATGCGAAAATCGCCTGCGAATAATCGATCGGCCCGTACGAAGAACCCGACACTCTGAAGACCTCTTTAGATATACTATGTACCAACGAAAGGGAGTTTGTGTATATTTACTACACGTCACACGTTATGTACACGCTGCGATTTTCTTCCTCTCCAAAACAGAGTGGCGGTTTAATTCACAATTACCCTTTGTGTATGTATATACCGTGTATGTCTCTATATGTATGTACGTTTAGCGTTTTATATATGTACACGCAGACCCGTCTTTACACACGCGTGTGTTCCAAGTTGTGCTCCTAAGGTCAAGGCGTACCTCGCTCGCGCGAGAGTGCTCTCATTTAAAGTGGTGCGATTCTCCCCGGCAATTGCGACAGAGTATTTACGAGTTTTTATTGCGGATGAGATGTAACAAATGACTGTAACAGATTACAATAACAAAGAGACACGTGAGAAAAATGCAATAATAAAGAGACATTTGAAAAGATATACATCAAGTTCTTGCGACATTCTATTCTCTATCTTTTATTAGGACGATATAAAAAAAAAAACGTTTCTTCGAACGTTTTCTCCGAGGGGGTAATCACTTAATGTAATCGTGGGACGGAGTCCCCGAAATCATTATAAAATTTATATAAAATTTCGATATAGTATAATCCGACAATTACAAGAAATAATTGTGTAACATTAGATAAAATCTTACCAAATGACCGCGTATATAGTGAGGAAAAATTATTTGTCGTCAAATAAAATTATATAAAATTAAATGAAATCGTGCAATCTCTCCGTGGGACGATATTTCATATAGTGGTTACCCCCTCGGTTTTC